CATGGCTTGCCTGACTGCTTCCTGGGTCTCAGATTCCCATCCCAGCTGCTGAGAGCTTCAAATACCAATCACAAAGCATGGAGCTCTCAACCACCAGCTGCATCAGGAGAATAACTTTCCCACATTACATTGTTCACACGGTGCACAATAGCCAAAACATGGAAACAACCCAGATGCCCACTACATATGAATGGGCCCAAAATTTGTGGTACCTACATACAATGGAATATTATACAGCCATTAGAAAGGATAAAATAATGGCATTCGCAGTGAAATGGATGGAACTAGAAAAAAATCATTTTGAGAGAGGTAAGTCAAGAGCAAAGACAAACAGCACATGGTGTCCCTGATATGTGAATGTTAAATCCAAAATGCAAGGAGATATGACAAAGTAAACAGGGACTCGAAAAACAAAGGACCTCCACTCATTTTGTTGTATCATTACTAAATGACCCCATGTTCTTAACCACATATATGGTATGTATGTGTACATATATATATATATATATATACATATATATATATATATGCACACATCTGAGGGAAGCTAGGAAGGCACAAAAAAGGAGGGAAACAGGGGAAAATATACAACAGAGGGGTCCATCAGCTGCACTGGACATTGATGAAAATGAACTAAACAACTCAAGGGCAGCAATGGGAAGGAAAGAATGAGAGGGAAAGAGGGAAGAGCTTACACTAAAGGAAAGAAATGTACATATCACTCAATGTGGAAGAAATAGTTGTACTGTCAAAGCTCACAGAATTCACACTTTATAGACCACGATAATGACAATTTGCCTAGTGAAGGTTAGAATGTGTTGTGACTTTAACTAAATGTCACTATCTCACAATATTGTGAAATTTGTGAAATTTATGTAATCACTTAACTACAATAAAAATTATAAAAAATAATTCTCATTTGTCTAGTTTCCAAGTATATTGCAATGTGGCAAAATCTTTTTTTTTTTTTTTTTGGGTCATGGGGCTTGAACTCTGGGCTTAGGCGCTGTCCCTCAACTCTTCAGCTCAAGGCTAGCACTCTACCACTTGAGCTACACTTCTGGTTTTCTGGTGGTTTATTGGAGATAAGAGTCTCATAGACTTTACTGCCCAGGCTTGGCTTTGAACCACAGTCCTCAGATCTCAGCCTCCTGAGTAGCTAGGATTACAGGTGTGAGCCACTGGTGCCCCGCTGCAACGTGAAATCTATTCTACTATATAAAACTTCACTAGGAGGCTGATGTGTCTTATTTGGGGAAGGGGGAATAGATCCTCCTGCTTTGCCTCCCAAGATTACTAGGGTTTAAATGTGTCTCCTAAAGGCTCATGTTAGAAATTTAATCCTCAAATTTGTATTTTAATGCTATTTGGAGGTAGAGACAGAAGCTGGGGGCACTGAAAGGTTACTAGGATTAGATGAGGTCACCAGGGTGTGGCCCCAAGATAGCATTAGTGCCTTCACAAGAAGAGGAAGAGAAACTCAAGCTATCAAGGTTTCTCCTTTTACTCTGTGATTTCCTGTACTATAATATGATTTAGGATACTGATGATGTCAAGCTCTTGGCTTGAGACTCTTATCTCCAATTAATGAGCAAAAAAGCTAGAAGTAGAAGGTTGGCTGAAGTGGTAGAGCACCAGCTATAATTGAAAATGATGAATGGGAGTGTGAGGCCAGAGTTCAAGCCCAAGAACAGGGGAAATAAAAAGAAAGTGATCTTAAAGAGAAACTAGAGGAATTTTTTGTTGTTGTTTTTTGCCAATCCTGGGGCTTGAATTCAGGGCCTGAGCACTGTCCCTAATGCTTCTTTTTGCTCAAGGCTAGCATTCTACCAACTGAGCCACAGTGCCACTTCCAGCCTTTTCTGTTTATGTAGTGCTGAGGAATCGAATCCAAGGCTTTGTGCATGCTAGGTAAGCACTCTACTGTTAAGCTACATCCCCAGCCCTAGGGGAATCTCTTGTACCACACATGCACTTCTTCATGTTTACCCTTAACCCAAATGCTCTAATCTTCAATAGCAAGTATGCAACAGAGCAATGTTTGCTTTCAAAGTTTAAAAACAACAACAGTGGGCATTGGTGGCTCATGCTTGTAATCCTAGCTATTCAGAAGGCTGAGAGAGCTTAGGTATTGCCATTCAATGCCAGTCCAACAGAAAAAGTCTTCATATTCCTTCTCCAATTAATCAGCAAAATGCTGGATTAGAGACAGTGATTCAAGTGGTAGAACATCAGTGGTGAGCAATGAAGCCAAGCAAAAGACAAGGTGCTTAGTCTAGGCCCTGGTAATCAGCAAAACAAACAGAGGATATTCCCTAAATAAGAATTGTACAGTCCAGATAGATGAGGGAAAATGAATCCTGTTTGTCATCTTCAGCTTAAGAGATTGCATGTCAACTCAGAAGAGACATGGTAAAATGCTTCATGTATAGCAGTTCTGCAAGCCAGTTCAATGGATGTTCAAGTGGGCTATGTGACCCTGCCACTGCCTATAGTGAATTTTCTCTTGGTAAATGAGGAGTTAAAGGGGAAAGACCCAGGCTCCCTGGCTCTCTCACTGCCAGCACTGCCAGTTCTGCTTCATTTTCCCAGTTTATCTGTTTGAATACTGAAATGAGAAAGATTATATTCCTCACACCACCAATCTGGGTGTCATGAAAGTTAAAGATACGGAAAGGCATAAGGAAATGTTTGAAACAAAAGTCAAGGATTGGGGGTGGGGGTGGGGGCGGTGGGAGAGATTGTTTTAAGACTGTGTCAACCATGGGCTACCTAGAGAGACCCTAACATACAATCCTCCTGCCTTAGCCTTCCTTAGTGCTAGGATCCCAGGCAGAATCCACCAAGCCCAGCCAAGGGTAAATTTTTATCTGAGAAGTAGACAAGCTTGGAGGGAGTGAAACATTGTTTAGTAGCAAGGAACTTGAAAGAAGTCATCTACCTTTGGAGGATGTATATATGCAAGAGTAGAGGAAGCAGAAGCAGCAGGAACTGCTGTCCCAGCAACAGCCAAGGAGGAAATCCCCAGACAGAAGACACATCATTACATAAGAGCACAAAATTCAATCACCACAGCATGGAGCCTAGCCAGGAAACCACAAAGTGCTGAGGTCTTGTCACCTGCCAGCCTGCATCTGTAGCACCTCATTCTAACTCTTCTTTGAATACACCCAATTTCTAGGCTTTGAGAAAGTTAGTCTTAGCAAGTATATCCAACTGTGTCATGAAATGGTGGTTTGTTGTCAGGATTAACACTAAGCACCCAGAAATCTCCCTCCATGTAGCAGGTAAGGATTTGCCCTCATGTACCATCTCTACTGAAGTACCCAAAAGTCACTCTTTAAACAGGGATCCCATCTGCAAGTTTCATACTAATATCTTCTGTGTCCCTATGCTTACTGGGCATAATAAATTCCTTAAGCAATAAGTGGCCACCAATGAAAGCTAACAACATGAGCCAGAATAAATTGAAGACTGTGAATCATGAAGACCTGACTGGGTTCTATCTTATTCACAGTATCTCCAAAACCTTTCAGTATTGAGAAGATTATGTATCACACAAATATTTGTAAAACTGAATTAATGAAAAAAGCAAGCATGCAAACTTGATATAATGTTTACAACATGAGAAATGGCTTTGAAAAGATTCTAGGAAGACTCTAGAACCTACCTTTGTGACTTTGGGCAGGTTGTGCAGTGCTGGTCTCAATTGGAAAAATGGGGATAATGTTAAGGGAGATTTTCAAAAGCGAACTCTTGGTACAACCTTGGCACATAGTAAACCAAGAACATTTCCATATTATTATTGTTATTATTATTATTATTGCTCTACCAAATTATTTTATTACTAAGGTGTAATGATAGTCCCCCTAACACTGGGGGAAAAAAAACTGTTTCTGCTTAAATATACATCTAAAAAACAAATACAAAGCTCAGAAAACCCAGAACTAAGTGCAGAGGGCATGTCTCTACTAGCCTCAACTAAATGGTGACAATTGGGTATGGAATTCCCAAAGCAGAAAAAAAAGTGTGTGAGTGTATGAGTGTATGTGTGTTGTGCATTATACTTTTTTTTTTAAGCCAAAGGGATCCAAACAGTAAGAAGTGAATTAGTCACTGTGAAGAGTGTAAAGACATTGTCGATCTGCAGATCTAGGAAGGGAGTTATAAATGTATTTGGGTAGCTAGAGCAAGCAGACAAAACCTCAGCAGGAGTAACGAAGCCCAGCACATTGTCACCCAGAAACAATTCTGTAGCCACAGCAGCAGTAGGCCTCTCTTTAGCCACCTGAAGTTCAGTATCATCAGCCCAAGTTCCCGGTGAGCAGCCCCTGCTCTCCTGGAGTCCCTGCCGTCCCCATCACTACCTGCCCTTCCCTTCCAATACCGTTACGCGGAACTTAACCACAACTGTGCAGAAGAGTCAGACTGGCACTAATATTTGCAGTTTCTCTTTTTAAAAAGGCGTCAACCAAAGTCTATATGCACATGCATATTAAAAGACACAAAACAGGAAGTGGTTTCCCTAAGTTTCGGCTCAGAAAATAAGTTGTTGAGACTGCAGAGCGGAGGAGGCGCGGGACACCCGAAAGCTCCCGCACGCGCGCGCGGCCGCAAGGTTTCCTCAGGAAATTCCACCCCCGCCCGAGACCGCCCGACCCAGGACCCGCAGCTTCCCTCGCATCGCAGACAGGCAAGAACGGCGGCCACACGGACGGCCGCGACCGCCCCGCGCACCGCCCGGCTCTGCCCGGACACCTTCAAGTCCTCGGCCTCCTTCCCCCTGGGCGCCGGCCCCTCCGGCCGCCGGGCCGGGGCTACCTCCGCTCAGGGTTCCGGGCGGCGCCGCTGGTGACCGGATGACACGGGCCCGAGCGGGGAGCAAGGACGGCTGGGCTCGGGCCGGCGTCCCTCAGCCTGACCCTCGCCCTGACAGCCGACCCGGCGCGCGGGTGACACAAAGCCGGCCCCGCTGGCCCCGGGCCTCGGTGACAACTCACCAGGGAGCCGCGCGGGGACCTCCGGGAAGGGGGGCGCTCCGCCGCGGCGCGCGCCCGCTCGCGATCCTCTGGGGTCTCGGACGAGCCCCCGCTTGCCCTTGTCTGGCTCGCGCTGGTCGGCGCTGGGAGAGGAGCGGGAGGCGAACGGGAGGGAGGGAGGGAAGGAGGGAAGGAGGCGGGCGGGCGGGCGGGCGGGCGGGGCGGCGAGGCGGCGAGGCTGTCGCCGGCTTCAGAGAATAGAACTCGGCGGCGGCGCCAGCGTCACTGGCCCAGCTGTACGGCGCGGGCGGGGGAGGCCCCTCCTGAAGATGGAGGAGGGGAAGGGGCGGGGCGAGGGGCGGGGCCATGCGCGCACGCCACAAACGCCGGCGTTGGGCCGCCGAGGGGGGGAGGGGGGAGGGGGCTGACCTCCCAAAAGGGAGGCCCCAGGCGCATGCGCGCCGCAGGTCTAGTCGGAAGTCCTGCGGAAGGAGAAGACATGGGGAGGGTCCTTAAAGAGACAGTCGCGCTGACCGAGCTGGTGAGGTCCCGCAGTGTTGCCGACTTGAGGCTTTTCGCCAAGATGTCTTCTGTACGTTCGTCGGTTCTTTGGCCATTATTGTCACTTGGATATTATTTGGAATACTGTCATTTGCAAAGAAGTGGACAACTGTGCTCTTCCGCCCACGACTCCCCTGTTAGCTCCCTCCGACCTGTCGCTGACGCAGGTTGACATCCTTATGAAGCAGTATTATGGTGCCTAGCCTGCCTACCTCAAAATTGCCCCTAACGGAGGTCTGAGCGTGGAAATGCAGACCTGGAGTCCCACCAAAGCAGGAGTCTGCCTCTCTCTATTTTAACTAGTCTTCGGAAGTCTTATTTCGGGACACTTAAGGTTGAAACAACTGAAGTTCCATTCTGGAGCCAGATCCCGGCCAGGTTCCTCGCTCTGTTCCCATCCGGAACCCTGCCTCCCTGGGACTACTTTCCAGCATATCTTATGTGAGCACTTTGTTCATTGGATGGTTACGTCATTTACTGGTGATGTTTCCCTGTGGCGTTTTATCTTTGTGCCCCAGGCCCTTGTACTTTGTCTCCGAGATAAACCCGAACATTTATTTGTTCCAGTGCTCCTGCGGCTAGGGGTGGGATAGGGGGCGTCATCCTACCAGGTGGGCTTGTTTTACCAGATGCTTTTTTTTGGTGCTGGGGACTGAACCAGGGCCTAACTCATGCATACTACATGAGCTTTTCACTCGAAATTTTTTCTTTCTTCTTTTGATAAGACTACATTCCCTCAGGACTTCTCACCTCATCGAGTTCTACCAGGCATTGGGGGAAAGTGGTATGAATTAACAGCATGTTAAATAAGCAACAAACAGAATAGAGTAGTTCTCCCCCCCCCCCGCCCCACCTAGATCTTTACCTTCCCCCCTCACCAATAAACACACTGATCACCAAGAAAGTCCTCCCCCTACTAGACCCCACAGCTTATTGCTGTTTTTTCCACAAGCCTATCCTTGCCTTGTCTTTTTGCTTTTTCTTTCTTGCCTTCCCTGCCTTCCAGCTTATTTCCCCCCTCTTGTGGGGGGGGAGGGAAGGAGGAGGGAGGGGATGGCATGGGGGGAGGGGGACGGGACATATGTGGGTTGCACTGCTCGGACCTTAGAGGGTTGATAAACAAGAGAACTGCCTGGCTCTGCAGAAAAGCTTAGTAAAACCTGTAACCCTGGCAGTAGCACCCCAAAGCAGATGTAAGGTTCAGGAAGAACAAGAGGAAAGGGAGCAAGGGAAAAGAGTACAAAAAGAATTGGAAGAAGACAAATGGATAGAAGGGTAGGAAAGCATAAGTACTGGTCAGATCATCTGAAAAGGCAGGTGAACTCCCGGCTCACAAAAGAATCTGGCACCCTACTTGGTTCTGCTAATCACTCCTGAGTCCTCAGAAAGAAAACAATCTCCCCACTGTGACTACACCCAGTACTCAAATCTCTACCCCTCCACATAGCCTCCTGTTCAGTCTCCCCATCCTTCTTGATGAACTCTAACAAGCCATGGCAGTCATGTCGCAGCCTATGCCTGCTCTTCCTTCTATCTGCAATGTCCTACCCTACTTAAACCTTCACCCAACGTGTGTGTGTGTGAGAGAGAGAGAGAGAGAGAGTGTATACTGCTTAAACTCAGGACCTCAAGTTCTCATTTGGCTTTTTTGCTCAAAGTTGTTACTCTATCACTTGAGCCACACTTCCATTTCCAGCTTTTTGCTGGTTAACTAGAGATAAAGAGTTTCACAGACTTTTCTGCACAGGCTGGCCTCAAACATTAATCCTTGAATTCCAGCCTCCTAAATAGGATTACAGGTGTGAACCACCAGTGCCTGGCCTTCACACAACCTCTCTAGGACTTTTCCTTCTGCCCTTCTGTGTGACTTGAGCTTCTCTGTTCAATATTTATTTCCTTCTTCTCTGCATTGCCAGCATCAGGGTACATTTCTACCTTGGCAAATGTCGGATCACAAGCCTCTCCCCTCCCTTCCTTAGCTCTTCTGCTCTCCTTATAGACCTGGCCAAGCCCCCTATTAATCTGCATATGGGCCTTGGTCTTCTAACCTAAAAAATAGGATTTACCCTCCATTGCTCAGGGTAAGTGATATTTTTATGTCACTAAAGTGATATCCCAAAGATGGCGGTTAAGAATAACTTAGATGCTCAAATAGAAGGAAACATTAGGCTTTTTGTTATTTGGTTTGTTATTTTGTAATGCCACTGAATCTCAAACTCAGAGCATTATGTGGTAGGCAAATGATCTATGACTGAGCTATATCCCCCATCTGACAGATTTAGTCTTGCTATTTGGCCCAGGCTTGCCAAGATCCTCCTCCCTCTACCTTCTGAATGCTAGGATTGCAGGCATGCACTCTCACATCTTGCCAAGTGTGTGTGTGTGTGTGTGTGTGTGTGTGTGTGTATGTGCGTGTGCGTGTGTTGGTACTGGGGCTTGAACTCAGGACCTAGGCACTGTCCTTTAGCTTGTTCTTCAAGGCTACTGCTCTACCACTTTGAGCCACAGCTTCACTTCTCATGGATTTTCCTGCTCTGGCTGGCTTCAAATCACAACCCTCAGATCTCAGCCTCCTAAGTAACTAGCCACCAGTACCCAGCATTACCAATTTAAAAAAAATTACCCCTAAGTAGTTGTACAAAGGAGCAGCCATTCAACAAAGCAGTTTGTGAATGCAGTGCATGTTGAGCAATGTCACTCCTTCCAGCATTGCCACTCAACCTTCTCAACCCACCCTAGTTGTTTTTAATTTTTAAAAAATTGTTTAAAAACTTTTTTCTCTTCCTTCCTTCCTTTCTCCCTTCTTTCTTTTCTTTCTGTGTGTTACTGAGGTTTGAACTCAGGGCCTAATGCTTGTTAGGCAGGTGCTCTACTATTTGAGCCATACCTCCAGCCATTTTTGTGCTAGTTGTTTTTCAAGAAGGGTCTTGCAATTTTGGTTTTTTGTTTTTTTTTTGTTTTTTTTTTTTTTGCCTGAGCTGGACTGGATGGCAAGCCTACTTACTATACTTCCCAAATAGCTGGAAGGACAAGCCTGTATGCCCAGCTTTTTTGCTGGGATAGAGCCTCTAACTTTTTAATATAGCTGGTTTTGAACAGCCATGTTCCTGATCCCCACCTCCTAATTAGCTAGGATTACAGGCATGAGCCACCATGCCTGACAATATTTCTAAAAATCTAATGATTTTTTTAATTCAACCTTAATATTGCCACAAAATTTTGAGATATAACTCCCACTAATTTGCAGTTTAAATATACAGTTATACACTTAATATGTACAATTCAAGATCTTATTATATATTTACAACATTGCAAAACCATTACCACAGCCACTTTTATATACAGTTACTTCTGGGGGTCCTCCCAAATCTTCTGCCCTTAGCAACCAATAACCTACTTTTTGTCTCTCTACATTTACTTATTCTAAAAACTTCATATAAATGGAATTGTTCAATATGTAGTCTTTATGACTGATTTTTTTGGTTTCTTACGTCCAACCTAATAAATTTTAATTTAAAGGCTATTTTTTCATTTATTTAGACCCTGCCTTATTCTAAATGGATTTATGGTGGTTCTTCCAGCCAATATTGCTTATGGCTGGGTCTTCCTAGATTTCACAATCTTTTTTTTTCTGGGGGAGAGGCTGTGTTGAAGATGGAATCTAGAGTCTACAAGCAGGCTAAGACAGATCTATCACTGAGCTACACCTGCAGCCCCCAAAACAAAGCTCTGGCAAATGTCAGCAGGGTTAGACTAACCCCAGAGAGTGTCAAGCAGAGATGCCAACCATCCCTGTTTGCCTGGGGCTGAGAGGGTTACTCACACATGGCGCTTCCAGAGCTTAAGCTAGGACAGTCCTAGACAAAGTGGGATGAACTGGTCCCTCCTTTGAAAAGAGTCAGTAGGCAGATATTGCTCTTGGAGTGTGTGCTTTTGCCAGTATCAGGGCAGAGAAGCTTGACTCCATCAGAGTGAAGGCTCAGAATAAGTCCACAGTGTCTATGTTGCCGTGGTTATTACATTTAAGAGCAATAATGACAGCCACTACTGTATGTCAGGTGCTTGTTAGGAGCTTTATCCTTATAACCTCTAATTCTGGCAACAATCCTTCAAGTCCTAGATCATCAACACCACTTACACAGGCAGTTTGGAGAGATATTTATGACATCAAAAACCACATAGCAGGTATGTTGTAAAACCAGAATTCGTTCTTGCTTGTTCCAAAGGTCAAATTTTTCCAACAAATCATGTGGTGCTTCCTACCCCCAACAAGAATAGCAAAAATGTCTCTACATTTCTCTTGATCTGTCTCAAAGTGCTTCTTTGTACATCCAGAATTTTCTTCTCACAACAGCCCTATAAAAATTTTACCTATAAGGAAGTGAAGGCCCCTCAGCATGTTTGCTTATCTAGTCTCACGCAGGAATTAGTCTGGTTTCATATTTTAATTCAAGATTCCTGGGCAGCCTTCAACGCCCAAGAAAGTAAACTCAGGTGAGGTGGACGTTTCCTGCCACCCTCAGGTGGCACAGAGTCAAAGTCCACACAGGAAGGCCAGACACACTGACTCTAAGGCCTAAGCTAGGGGCCGCTCCCATTCAAGAG